CTTCGTGTTTGAACAAATGTCCAAAGGACCTAGCCTTCTCTTGTAGCATCGGGCCACTCACTGGGACGTTCTTGGCCGGCACTTCATGAATCCACCTAAACAAGGCTTCGTTGACGTCCTCATCCTTTGACGCATGAATCCTCTTTCTTGAGAGCGAAGCAGAATCTTGCTGCAGCTACTTCCATATCCGCTCCCAGTTCTTCCAGACAGTGGAAACCATTATGTCAGCGACGTAGTACTTGGCCGCGATGGAAGCTTTTTTTCATGCCACTTTTTACATCTCTGACGATGCTCTGTTTAGTTTCGAGACGAGGCTTGTTGTTTCTTGGCCATCTTGGGCTTGGGAGACAGGGACAGATTTGCGATGGACGGTCAATTTCCGTACGATATGCTTGACTCGGTCCAAACATCAGACGTGAGAGCAAGCCAGCAAGCTGCAAGAAGCGAAATTAGAAACTATCCAGCTATCCAGTTTTCATTTTGCGCGCGGCGTAAGAAAGGAGGTTGGTTTTCATCACTCGAGCAAGGGGTGAAATCGAAAGGGCGAAAGGCTTGGGTGGCTCGTTGGGGCTTTCGTGCGTGTGTCGCACCTCGCTGTGTTGTACCTCGCTGCACTGCGATTCGTTTCTTGCCTCTCTCTTTTCCTCTCCTCGCTTCCTCGCAATGTCCTTGCCATCCTTGTCCCCGCAAGTGCCGCTTGTGCCATTATCTGGTGACGCACAGGGAAGCATGCTAGCTGCACCAGTCGGCCGGCAGGCTGTTCCAGAAACCACACTATAACCTGTATTTCGCTTCACATGCCTGCATTTTAAGCGGTATGTAACTGTATGGAGTTGTATGGAAGGTGGACCGGTGGTTGAAAAAAAGAGCCACATTATATCCGGTTTTGCACTATGAGCAGTTACATTATAGTAAGTGGTCTATACTGTATGTGGTTTATCCTTCCCCTTGAAAAATGTCAGTCTTCGTAACACCTGTCCATAAGTCTGGGAATCCTTGCGATGTTAATAACTTTTGCCCTCTGTCCCTCCTTTGTAAATTTTCCAAAGTTTTGGGAATGGTAGTTTGCGAGTGTTTGTATTCCTATTTTAAACAAGAAATTTTGCATGTACAACACGAGTTTCTCAAGGGCAGATCAGTAGAAACAAATTTAAGTGCTTTCCTTGGTCACAGCGGACCTGCCGTATGCAACCGCAGTCAGGTGGACACGATTTACTTTGACATGACAAAGGCTTTTGATAAGGTGGATTGACATATATTTTAGTAAAAACTGAAAGAATATGAGTTATGTGCAGTGTATTGCACATGACTTATCTAAGTAACCACCAAAATCAAATAGATCTTTTAGCTGTGTGTCCGAGCCGTTTACTTCTTTACCTGGCATGCAACAAGGTTCTAACCTAGGACCACCCTTGTTCTTGGTGTTCGTAGATGATATACCATCCCGTATTTTGAATAAAAAATGGTAATGTACGCCGACGACTTAAACTGTTCCACAAGATAGACCATATGAATGGCTCCTTATTGATACAAAATGATATCAGCTTCATTGAGCAATGATGTTTGATGAATAGGCTCCGAGTGGACCTAAAAAAGATGCTAGTACCGTGTTTACATGAATGTAGGTCGATCCTTTTTTTAATTTTTTAAAATCTGAATGGAGGTCGACTTATAATCAAACCAAAGCATTCCATCGCCAACAAAAACTAAACAATTGCGATACTATGAACACCTCGGCTTGTTACGAGTTCAGCCGGCTGTAGCTCTAGCATTGTACTATTCTGTGCGCTCATTTTACAATTTTTTTTATTTTTTTTATTTGCCCGATAGGGTATTATTGATAGCGATTCGCAAATTAAACCAAATGTACGGCAGTGAACAGCGCACGGTGCGCCCGACTTCCGGGGGTGCGGCACTTCTTGTAAGAGCCACTCCGGAAGCCGCTGGAACAGCCTCATGGCTCACTCTCCCCTCGGCTTCTCTTCACAGTTTTTCGCACAATTCACGGTCGCACATAGGTTCATCGAGTGTCGAGATCATGCTAGAGTGCTAACCCTAGCATCTGCGTTTATGGCAATTCTTCACCCAGAAGCAACCACCAACTGCGCTGTTGGACTGAAGCTTGACCTGTTGGGGCGGGCGATGCTCCAGTGGAGTCTGCAATGGCGTGGGATCTTAAACTGTGACGGCAAACGAAGAGGCTTCCGCAGATTAAAGTCTGGATAGGTGGGGATGCCTTTCAGAGTTGGAAGTCAGGCTTGCAACGTACGCCACAAAAGTGAGCAATCGATACCTACCCATGATGCGCAACGTGATCGCCGAGCAAGTGCGGAAGATGTGGTTGATGCTGTCATTTACGAAGTGCGAAATTCTGTTGAACGACACTGACGATGTGCTTCGAGAACGTACCAGTGATGATGACGGGACTGACATCAGCGGTGCAGACGAGTCATAGTCTAGTTGCGGACGGAGTAAGAATGACATGGAACAGCTTCAGTTGTCCCGCATCCAGTGTGCATTTCCCAGTTTCGAAAATGGGCATCTCATGCACCTCAGGTGTGCATGTGCAGCCAAAGCGTGCCAGAAAGCCTTTGATCGCATGTTGGAGGCTGGGCTTTCAAAAGAGGCACTTTGTTGTTCTCACGTGTTTGCAGAAAACTTCACATGTAAAGATTTTACAGCTGAGCTGCTAAGAGCTAGTTTCCCCAGGATCGTGTCTGCCAGCAAACAAGTGTCGACACAACACTCCAGACAGCTACCTCCATCTATGAGCGATGGCGGCAACCACACAACCGGCTTGCTGGTTGTCTGGTTGCTGCCTTTGTTCATAAATGGCGGCAACCTTTCCAGGCTTTCCTCTGGCTTGCCGACTTGCGGCCGGCCATTACTTCATTCCCACCATAGTATAGCTTCGCTGATCTTTCTTCTTCTTCACCAAAATAAAAAGGCTGAAAGCTTTTTTTTTTTCTGATGTGCAATGTAGGGGGGGGGGAGGGGGAGGGGGGGGTCGACTTACAATCAAGTCGACTTACAATCGAGTCGACTTACAATTGTGTAAATACGGTAATATCCCTTACTAGGAAGAAAGAAAGCATTATTTTTTACTAATCACCAATGTATGGACAAATACGGAGGGTACTTCCCGTGTGTGATCCTGGCGTTTTTGTGGATTCTCGATTAGATTCTCGTCTACATGTGTCGCTCATTGTTAACCAGGGGCTATGCAACCTGGGCGTCATTTTGTGGTTTACACAAGAAAAACTCTAGCGGTGTCGTGCAGTAATTCAATTGAGAATGTTCAATGCAAGTTTATTCTAATTTTTTATGACACTAGACAGATTGGCCACCATCCTTTTTATGACTACAATCACCTCGTAGTGGACGTCAGTCTCTTGTCCCTGTACGATCACAGAATTGAAAGGGATGTGCATTTTCTATGCCAAATTGTCCGTGGCTTAGTTGACTGCGTGGAGCTGTTGACGGCGCTGAAGTTTCGTGTACCATCGGGCGGACGTCCAAGTACCGAGACACCTTTTATTCCGACGTGCGGGCCGTTCGCCTCGTGGCACGTCTGCAGCCGACTTACAACACTTTCTTTATTCATGTACAATTTTTGTGTGAATTGACTGTTTAGTTTCTCCTGCTCTTTTTTTCGTGCTTGTATTTCACAGGACAGTGCACTGCTGCCCAGGCCATTTGGCTGTTGGCAGGCACTTAAATAAACATACCTATATCTGGTTGTCGCAAAGTAAACAATCTTAGTAGCCTCTGCTAAAAGGATGTCCCAGAAGAGAGCACAAGGTGGAGACACCAATTCTGCAATCTTGTTATGCTTGAGCTGTGCAGGACCAGCAGAAGTATAAAAGGTATGAATCAATCGACATAGTTTTTCCCCTCTTCAGAAATCAAATGCTGCAACAGCAGATTCTTTACGAGATGGGGCCTACACCTTCTAACCTGTTGGAGAGTAGTAAGGGACTACTACGTAAACTTTCGTTAGTTAGACCTCGGTTAATTCGACTTTTTGTTTAATTCGATCGTGTTCAAAAGTCCCGGCGAGCGCCCATACATTTCTATGGGAGGAAAAGTTTGATAGTTCGAACTCGGGAAGACTCCGCATCGGATACTTCATCCTGAGCGAATGCGCGCGGTCTCACTTTGCACGGCACCACGGCAGAAAAACCACTAACGTATGGCGAAACACGGGCCCTTTGCTGCAAAACCAAACGTCTCGATATATGTGTTTGCTCCTCTGCGCCATTGAGATGGATCGTAGCGAATGACGTGAGCCAGCACAACCAATCTGGAGTGGTGTAGCGCGGAGAACATAGCACGTAGTCGGGCGCGGAGACAGCGAGCGCTATCACAGTGCTTTCTGTAGCATGGCGTGCGGTCCCTCTCGCGCGCCGGAAAGCACAAGTTTTTTTTTCTAATTTTATTTTGTTCTTTTTCTTTGTCGCCGACGATCTGGCCGCCTGGCATCAAAGTCGGCTGATAGAGCTTTCCTCTGCGCGCGCTATCAAAGCGCTTTTCTGTAGCACTGTGTGCGGTCCATCTTGCGCGATGGAAAGCGCACTCTTTTTTTCTTTTTGTGATTTTTATTTATCGCCGATGGACTGGCTGCTTGGCGCCAAAATCAACTCGTAAATTTTTTTTTTTTTTTTTTTTAGTGCGCAATTTTTTGGGGACGTGACGTTTAGTTACATTGCTCTTCAGAGCATGCCTTTGGACAAGCGTTTTAAGCGCAGACGGCAGCAGACCATCCGTGAGTACTTCGGACAATAAAAGGAAGTTTTATTTTAACCGTTTTTCTGTCCTTTTTTTAAATTCAATCATTCAAATAGTTTGACCAAAGTTCAAGGTCCCGTCGAGTTGGAATTAACGGAAGTTTACTGGAGTTAGGTGAGCACTCAAACATGCACCTCATTAAAAGAAACCGGTATGAACTCTCCGTTACTATATTGTGCAAACCATACACGGCAAAGAGATCCAATTCTTACCTCAAACTTGGCACAGTCCCAAGAGGTGTTGAAGTGTGTCGGTCTTTGCAGGTGGCCAAACTGGATCTCATATGTGGCACTGCGACTTAGGATGTTGGCCGGGAATTCCACCTTAAAAGAATGGATAATTAAACATGAGGAAGAAAACGAGAAGGACTGACAACCACAGACTGAATTATCCCTACCAATCCGCTCGTTCTGTCCTTAGAATGGGTAGGCTGTGTATATGACATATCTGCAGGTTTTAGGCGTGATAGCATACACGTGCCCAGTCTAGTGAAATTAAATGCATGTATCGAACATATCAAATTTATTTGTAAGTCCAAAAATAATGAACTGAAATGCAAATATCAAATGAAACATATTTATTTGTTAGTCACAGAATTAATCGAACGAAACGATGATTTAAACAGGAGGTAAACTTTTACAACCAGACGATACTCAAGAAACCGAATCCCTTAGGTCGCTTTCATTTCTGTGCATCGTTGTCTCGCTTTTGTTTGATTATTGCCTCATTCGCCTCGGACTGCTGCTTCATTGCGGCCGCAATGGACATGCAATGCGGGTGACAAGACGGCAGTGCGCATGCATAGAGTTATTACAATAAACGCTAGAGGCTCAGCTGGCGCTAGTGTGCTGTTGCAAATTGAAGCAGACAGCATGCAGTCAGAAATTGACTTCCGGTAATGCATTTCTATGGGAAAAAGCGAGTGCATTTTCTCTCTGCGTCGATTATAAGAGCAAATATCACGAATAATTTGTACGTACTAGGCACATTGGAACATTTCTCAGTCACGCAGACGAAATAATTGGTCAGTTACAGCATTTTTATTTGAAATTCGCGGCATTAAAAACGGTGTTAAAACCGCTTCGTACGTGTATTTATGTGCACTGTCGGACACTGTTAGCGCGAACACGGTGTTGACGCTTTCCAGCATGGGGGATATACGTGCCAAACGAACGAACGACATGTGGAAAACCAAGAGCGACGGCAAGAACTTCGCAGTAACACTGGGAAAGTAACTCCTTGTGCTTGCAGACAATCAAAATAAGTTGAAAGTCACGTAATATAGTCCGATTTGCAATAAATAAGTACTGCTTTATTCTTTCTGCTCATGAATATGTGCGAAGATGCTTGTTCGGTGTTCAAATCATCGCCCGCACGCTCCAAATCTTTGCAAATAGGGGGAAGCCAGAGGACAGGTGCGCAATAAAAACTGCCCAACATAGGAAATAATAAGGAAACACGCCTTTCGTAGCCTACGTACTTTATTCTTTACGTTTCGAACTTTTTTTTTTTTTAACCGCTCGTAGAGATGCACGACAAGGTCATTTTCATATAGTGAGAGGACAGACATATTAGCAATATATAAGCACCAACGGAATGCTGGCGAACTTTGAACACACTCTACATTCCTTTCGATCGTTATTTTGCTAAGAATCGTCGCTCGTTTCTACATACCTGCCATGGAACAGAGGTTTGGGCCTGAAATATAGCGAAGTTTAACATCGTTCAGTGGTAAAGGAAAAATGTTGTAACTAAAGCAATTACACTTTCACAATATTAATAAAGGTACATACTACCCGGTACAACCGAAATAACAAAAGTTATTAATGTTATTTTCCGGCGACGAGACAAAATTCACGCGCGTTTTCCCATAGGGATACACAGGAAGACTGGAAAAGTAGACTGCATGCTGTCTGCTTCAATTTGCAACCGGAAGTCCCATAGACACTAGCGCCAGCTGAGCCTCTAGCGTTTATTGTAATAACTCTATGTGCGCATGACTTCATGTCAGCGTTGGATGTATTAGGATCACCTTGTTCGGTGCATATCGCTTGAAGAGATGCAGATGTTTAGGCGACTCTTTCACCATTACTTTTGGCTCGATGAGTTCTATCTACGTCCAACATTTCAGTGATGTGCATAGAACAGGAACGGAGATATAGGCCTCAATGCTAAATTTCAGGCTCAAGTTTCTACTTTAACGTGTAATTAATGAAGCAGTATTGTCACAAGTTATATGTTACCACCTACTGTGGAGTGCATGCCTATTCAACTCTGAAATGACACCGGACACAAATCAATCGAACAAAACGTCTGCTAGTAACAGCGACTCAGACCGTACCGAACGTGCACTCGGACGGCTAATCGAAAGCGTTGTTCCACTTTGTGCTTGCGCAGGAGGGGAGTGAATGGGTGTGTTTCAAATGAGTGAGACATCAAGTGAAAGATAATACTACCGTAAAGTTCCAAGAGAATGCCCGCCCTCGAGAGATCGCCCATCCCGTTTTTCTGGCTAAATATCTGTAACGCAAAAATTCCGAGACATCGCTCACCCTCCGATTTCTGTCGGACGTCACGCAATGACCGACGGGAATCGCATCAACCACGCAATTCACTGTACCGGCACGTCTGACAAGCGAGTTCATAGCAGGTTCCCGCGTTTTTGTTTGCGATTTGCATGTGCGATATCGGCTCCTGTAACACGCGAGTTGTTCCCACATGTATGTTGCACTGTGAGATGCAAATCTGCTGCGTCTGCAATCTGCAGTATCCATTCCCGTGACATAAAGCTTTTAGAGGATTCCCGCGTTTTCGCCCGCAATCTGCGTGTGCGATCTCCATTCCACGCAAGTTGGTCCCGCGTGTATATTGCATCGTGAAATACAATTCTGCTGCGTTCACAAACTGCGGTGTTTGTTTCCGTGACATGCGAGTTTGTAGCGGATTCCTGCCTTTTTGTCCGCGATCTGCGCGCGCGATATCGGTTTCCGTAACAGCCGAGTTTGTAGCGGGTTCCCGCGTGCTTGTTGCACCATAAAACTTGCATCTGCTGCGTCCACAATTTGCGGTTTCGTTCCAGTGAGATGCGAGTTCTCGGCAGATTTCCGCGGAACCTTCGCACCGTTTAAACGCGAATTTGCTGCGTCCGCAAACTGCGGTATCCTTTGCCGTGACACAGGAGTTCGTAGTGAACTCCCGCATGTTTATCGCATCGTGAAACGCGAATTTGTGGTGTCCACGATCTGTGGTATCAGTTCCCGCCTTACGTGGTTTGTAGCCGGTTTTTGATAAAGTTTTGCTGTGGCGTCCCTAAAGATAGCCCGCCCCATGTTTTTCACCATTTATCTCTTCATTTTGGGTGGGCATTCTTTCGGAACTTTACGGTAGACACATAACGGAAGAAGAACAATTGCTCTCTGGAATATAGCAGTGGTGGAACTGACAAGTGGTGATTTGGAGCAGCTCTTGCAGCAAGGAAAAACTGGTTTTGGAGTAGATTTCCCGCTTTTGGAGCAGACAATTTTGAGCGTTCATGTTGAAAAATTTTATACAATCTCTTTGAAAGTTAGCCTGTGAAAAAAATGTAGTTGTTGGAGCGTTGGGTGTTTATTTAATATGTCATACCTACATAATGACAAATACACAGCGCAAAAGGACAAAAAGGGAAGAGACACACCGGATAGAACAGAGCTTTATTACAGTTCATACCTACAGGTGACCTGGCCGCTACAAATATTTATTTATTTATTGAATAATCGCATGCCGGTAATTTTGTAGATGTCTCAATCAACCTATTAGGAGTACCGATGACGTCTTCGGTCTGTGATTGACGTAAAAAGATGTTTTGGGCTACTTTGTGGGGTTTGTATCACGGTGACATAATTGTCGTGAGTTCAACATAAAACGGACACTTTTGTGTAGAATGTGTCTCACGCTGCCCTCGCTCGTATTCAACCTGCTACTGTTCACAAAGCAGCTAAGCGGAGCACATAGCTACTCTAACCGATCACAATGCGTAGCACTAGCTATTCATTGCGATCGATGTGAGCAGCGCTTGCACAAAAACCAATAACTTTTCGTTAGACATGTGCAAATAATGTATTTTGGGTTCAAAGAAAATTCAAAGTTAATAGTGGTTTTGGCAAAATATATTTTAATAAAATAATGAATAGTTGCTGCACCTTAATCCATGCCTTTCAGTACTGCTACACCATGCTTAAACAAAAATACAGCTGAACTCGCAAAAATTGTTCCCAAGCTCCAAACTGCCCACTCATCAGCTCTCCTAAATTTAATCTACCGTAAAATCCTGAATTAACGCCCCCCTTTTGGCCGTAGATAATTGGCAAAAAAAGTGGGGTGGGCAATCTTTCAGTATTTAATAACCAAAATCACAAACAAAAATCGAGTAACTCGTGCGCCAAAGCAGCATGGGTTTTATTTCCCTAGCTCTCATCGCTGAAACCATCAAACGACACATCGCTTTCGCTGTCGAAGATTAAATCTAACGCCTCGTCAATGAGGCTCTCGGGATCCTCGGGTCCATTGGTTACCGAAGCCAAACGGTCGTTGAGCTCGCCGTCCTCGGAACCATCGAGCCTTGTGGATATTCCGCACCGTTTGAATGAACTCCGCACGGTACCCTCGGAGACGGAGGCCCACGCCTGAGCCATGAAGTCCACAAGCTCTTGACGCGACGGCTTGCGAAGGTTGCCCTTTGGAGTCACCGAACCTTTCCGGAAGAACGATGCCCAAATTCCACGCAGCGCGTCCTTGAAGGGCTTCACCCATGAGACGTCCGCGGGTTGCAAAATGGACGTGCAACCACCCGGTATCAAGACGACGTCAGTGTCTTTTGCGTCGAGCGCTTCTCGGGCCGCCTCTGTCTTGTGTATGGGTGCTTGGTCCAGTATGAGCAGTCTCCTCACGTCGTCGGCGTTCGGGCCCCAAACTCTCCTAGTCCACTCCAGTAGGACGGGAGAGGTCATCCAACCGTTCTTGGAAGAAGAAACTCGCACATTTGCTGCAAGTACAACAAGTATAACATGAAATAACAGTTCGGGCCCCAAACGCACATTACACATGCTACGCCGATGAGTGAAGATATGCGAACTGCCCGATTTTATGGCCGAGCGCCGAAGCACGCGCAAGTGAGTAAGCTTCGGAAAGCCAGCAAGTCACGCGCCAACTGCTCGTGCGCTCAAGATGGCGCCGGCCAGAACGGCTACGCGATCTTTCGGAAATGGGGCGATACAAAACAAAACGGGCTGTGGCGTTTTGTCAATGGATGACGCAACAGTCGCTCTATTTAAAAAAAAAAAAA